TTAAAACAAGGGTATTATTTAAAAATACATAAACCCATGACCCACACAGGTATCCACGGTCTGGGAGCGGGTGGGAGCAGGGTAAGCCATGCAGGGCCACCCTGAGCCAATACCTTCCTTCAGGAGTAAGAAAACGTAAGCCCCCCAGAGGCCTGGGCCAAGGCAGGGTGGCCATGGCAACCACAACCTTGGGAGAGGGCAGAAATGAGGAGCTGTCTTCTCCTGTTTCCTGGGGTCTTATATGGGCCCGTTTCTTCCCACAAATGAGGGTGAAGATACCCCTGCCCTCCAAGCTGGCCTCCACTGCTTACCCACCCCCCCACCCCGCGGCCATGCACCCCACCTGGGAATGGCTCTGCCCCTTCTCCCCACCAGGCCCTTATCACCCCTCACCTGGACAACTGCAACAGCAGGATTGGTCTCAAGCACCTGTTTCAGCCTAGCCTCTATCCCAAGTGGTGAAAATGGGCCCCCTAAAGCTCAGGTGTGATGCTGTCAGCCCCCAGTTCAGAGACAGCTGGTGCCCGTCCCCCCCTTCCATTGCCTGGAGCCGTTTTAATGCAGGGTACAGCTGCCCTCTGTTCTCACAGTTCCAGAGCCAGCATTTTTCAAAGAGGGTGAAGGGACCACCACCTCAGAATCACCTGGGGTACTTAATCAAACTCCAGCTTCCTGAACTACTGAATCGGAAAGTCTGGAGGTGGGCTCTGGGAAGTTTTAACTGGAGAAAGGAAACCTCCAGACAAACTTTGTATACACTGAAGTTAGAGAACTGTTTTGCTGGAGTTTCCCATTGTTTGGGGAAATGCATCCTCCTTCCATCTGCCAGGAACATACCCTGCCCCTCTCCGTGATCCTGAGTTAGGACTGGGGACCAGTCGCCCTACCGCTGACCCTGCACTCATCTCCAAAGTTTAGGCATCAGGGTTGCCAAAATAGCCCATGCCAGCTCCTCACTGAGCGACTAAGGCAGGCACTTTATATCCAAAGGCCTCCGTTTCCCATACATACAATGAGTGGATTTGTGCGGCCTGGGGTCCCTTCCACTCCAAGCTAAGGCATGCAGTCTTTACGTTGTATTACGCATGTTCTGTTGGATCCGCGGTTCTAGCCCTGAAATTCTAAGCACCTGCGTTTTTCCGTTTATTTGGGGCTGGAGTGTGGGGGGAAGGATTCCTCCCTCATCCAAAGGGAAACTATTAAAAAGCATCTCTCATACTACACTCAACTTGCAATTTCCACTAAGGTAGAACCAAGTAATGTTTAGCCTTCTTGGCACAGCTTTTTCTTTTTTAAATGTTCGTTTCTAGAAAATTTCCCAATCCCTTTCCACAGGCCAAAGAGAAGGCACCGAGACATGCATAAGATTAGAATGTACTAGCAACCCTTCAGCACCCTGCTGTTGACTGAGGCTTCTCGTAACCTGCAGGACTCAAACATGCACCTTCTCACCCTGAAACTCCCCGAGCCTTGCCCTGCACCACTCAAGTCAGTGCTGAGCTCCAGGGGCCCCACGCAACGCCGGCCAACAAGCCGCGCCCTCCGAGGCCTGGCGGGAGCGCTGACCAGCCCGCCGCACACCCTGCCTGCTCCCCCCACGGAGCTGCTGGAAGACGGCGCATGCAGGGGAGGGGGAGACGGGGCTGAGCAACAGCCGCACGAGCAAACGCCGTGCCAGGGATTTAGTCAACAGAGAGCTAATATGAGTCAACAGTGGGTGCCGCTGCCAAGCACACTAATGGGATCTTCAGCTGCTTTAATAGAAGGGAAGTGTCTAGGGCAGGCCGAGGGAGTCCTGCCCTGCTCTGACCAGACCACACCTGAGGGCTGGGCAGGGCGGGCTGGGCTACGGAGGGGGGACGCACCTTCCAGGGTAGCGCCAGGGTTTCCGAAGAGGAGTGGCTTAGGGTGGCACTCTGGTTTGTGGGCCAAGGCCTCCCCTGGGAACTGGGTTTGCAGAGCAAGCCCACCCCAGACTGCACATTACAGATGGACGTTCTAAAAGATCTTGACTCTCCACAGCAAAGGTAAAGAGGCCACATGCTAGGGGAAGCCCCCCACCTGGAGAAGGGGGCTCCAGGGCCCATCAGAGGATCCCGAGAAGACGGTACAGTTGCTTCTCCTTTATTATATGTAACAGCTGGCCAGTGGCTTGGCCAAGAACAGGTATTCTAAAAATGCACAAGGGTGCTGGATTGAGATCCTGTAACCTCAAGCATCAAAGCCTCCAGGAAGTCCTCCCAATTCATCCATCCCCAGCACCCTGTCTGGGTGAGCCTGTCACATCACTCAACATCACTTACAATGAAAAGACGCGCTGCTACCTGTGTTTCTCAAGAGCCTCGAGGCCACCTCTCATTCACCTCTGGGTCCACAGCCCAGCACCTGGCACACTGGAGACATCCAATAAAGGGTGGCTGAACTGAAAACCAAGGTGCCCCAGCACTGTCACACTGAGGGTGTCATGTTCAAGGCAATTCTGGAACACAAGCACCTTGACTAGGGCTAATAAAACAGCTTATGACAATGCATAACCACTTTTAGTCTGCTGAGCAAAGGAATTCTTGAACCCACCACCACCAGAGGGTTTTAATCACAACAGAGCCATAGTTAGCCTGGCAAGTGCACTGAGTGCCTGTGTAAGTGACTGGAGACAGAAATCCAGCTTAGGGGGATGGCGGTCAAAGGTAAATCCTGTGCGACAAGCAGCAAAACAACCCCAGAGCCCAGGAAGCAGTAAAAATCCAGGAACACAGGAGGTGAGAATAATGACCAGTGGGGCTAAATGCCAAAAAGGACAGCATAAAAAGTGAGCCCAGAGAAATGACTGGCTAAGAAAGGACGCGTGCTACAGATTCCCTGGGAGCTGGCTGCCTGGAGCTCACCTTGCAACTCGAAGAATTAATTACAGGAACCAAAACTCGGATCTGGAAAGATGAGTGTAGGAGACTGTGTGATGCAGTTCTAATACCTAATAAATCTTTAAATCGATGAGCCATGCTCACTGGTGATTCTCCATCCTTCCTCTCCAAGAGCTCACATGACAAAAGCCAGCATTTGCTCTGGATCTGCCTTTATATACACAGGGTGTATATAAATACACCATACACGCATGTCTGTATAAATAAAATTGGGGGTCCACTAAATCACATCTTAAAGCATCAAGAAATCTGTCATTATAAGAAAACCTGGTAAATTCTTTTGTCAAGTAGCCTTTTATAAAGTGAAGAAATCTTTTAGGATGCAAACCCCCCTCCCAAACACTGGGCGAGGGCTCCACCGGCTGTGGTTAAGTCAGCGTTCCCATCCCAACCTGTTCATTTGGGTACCTGTTTGGTTCTATTCACCACGCATGCATCTTAACTGGGTTTTCATTTTTCATCCCAGAAACACCACTTAAGCCTGTCGCACAAATCTGACAGAAGCAATACATTTTATAAACGAATCATCCCTGGGGAACAGACAAGAAAACCATCAGCAATGAGCGTTGTCAAAGTTCCCAACCGGAGCATTCCTTTCCCAGATCGGAGATGCAGAATGCGCCACATCCTCTCCACACACCAGCTGCTGGCTCCAGAATGCGCCCGCTCACCTCTCCACTCCCCCTCAGCTCTTCAGGCCCCTCCTTCCAGCTGAATAAAAGCTGGAGAGCCCGGTCTTGGGGAAGCAGTAACGTTTTAACACTGTTTTAAAGACAACCACTCTAAACACTGGAATGTTGGCCCCTTTTCTACGAATAAAAAGGCCCCCAAAGGGTATTATCATAACAAAATGATATCCTATGGAGAGCACCCAAAACCGCAAAAATAAAATTGCCATAAATTGAAACTGTCTCAAAATTATAAACCTACACAAGGAAACATTAAACCTCAGGCCAGACAGGCTCTGATTTTCCCATCTAAAACCCTTACATGTTCCCAATTCTATCATGAAGTCCGATTTCCCCCACCCTAGAAGGCCTAAATGCTTTCTTTGGAAGTCCTGGTACGTTATTTCCCCCCCCACCCTTAAAACCCTTGGGATGATCTGTAACATTCATCTAAAGCTCAATCGTTTCTGTGTCCTCAGTCACACCCAAAGATTCCCAAAGGCACCGTCTGCCGCAGCGCCGGGTGCACAGTAGGCTCCCCATTAACGTGCGGATTTGATTTGATCAGATCTGGCCCCTTCGGCTATAAAGACACGTTGGTAGCCGGACGCCCTGGCGAGGACAACAGCGCCAGCCTAGCTCTCTGCTGGAGGGGGCGGGGTGCAACCACCTGTGGGCGGGTGGCCCAGGACTCAGGCCGCGGCGCAGCCGCCCTAGGGTGCCTCCGCGGCTCCATGCACCCTACCCCGGGGAAAGTCCGGCGCGCCAGGCCCGAGGGCACCCCAGGGCCGACCCTCAGTGCCCCAGCGGGGGCTCTGCCGGTGCAAAGTTGGCCTGGTCCGCGAGAGTCGATTCTAGAGTTAGCTCCCAAGTCACCCCAAACCCTGCGAGGCAACGGGCCAGAGGGGCGGTTTAGGATGGGGATGGGGGCGAGGCGAGGGGGAGCCGAGACAGGATTAGGAAAGAGCAGAAATGGTCTCCTGACTCCCTCCCAAACTTGGGGCACCTGCCGACCGGCAGAAGAAAGGGCTTCTCCCTGCCGTCCCATCAAGGCCTGGTGGCGAGTTTGTGGGGACAAGCGGGCCAGTCTGGGGCAGCCCCGCGTTGCTTTGAGATTTCCTAGCCAAGAACCCAGCACCAAGAAGGCCGCTGCAGAAATCTGAGGGGGTGGAAGGGGAACACCGGCCATCCGCGCCGGGAGGCGGCGACTCCGGGGCGCAGGCCAGGGATGAGGTCCCGGAAGAGACCTGGACGGGGTGGCCCGAGAGGGAATCAGGGCTAGGGAGTGCTCGCAGAAGCGGGAAGGGATCCCGGAGAGGTGCAAGGGGAGCGCCTCAGAGGGAAGCATCGGGGGAGGGGGCTGCCCAAGGGCCGCGGGGTTCCAGTGTCCCGGACCGGCGCCGTCACTCACCGGCAGGTCCACGCTCACTTCGGTCCCGTCGACGCAGGAGACGCGGCAGTAGTAGGGTGGGCCGTTGGAGGTCGCCGGCCGGCCGAGAGAAGTGTGAACC